AAAGTCCTGATCCTGGTTTGATATCAGCTGACACACACCGATCTCTGAGAAGTGAATACTGACACGCGAAGATGCCAGAATTACCCGATTACCAGTGGTTGATAAAGGAAGTATAGGAGAGGATGAACGCCGAAACACGCCAACTGGTAAACTGGAAAAGTAAACAACACACGTAAGTTTGAACTCCATTTTCGATATTTTACTTCACCTTTCATAGGAGCGTTTAGCAAAAATTCTTTAAAAACCCTTAAGGAGGCGCCTTTAAATTTTGAAGAGTGCATGTGTGCGTGTGTGTAGGAGTATAGAGTAGAGAATAGTATAGCATAGTATAGTATAATATAGTATAGTATAATACAGAATGGTATGATATAGTAGGGTATAGTATAGAGGAGAGCCAGAAACCTCAAAAGAAAAATTAATGCAAAACCAGAATTTATTGAGATAAAGGGGTTCTACTAGGCTCCCATTTAAAAGGAAAAACATCATTCTGACAGTTTGAGTAAATGGACAGAGAACAACCAAATAGATGGAAAATGTTAGGCCTGGCTTTTGAACAAACAAAGACCAAAGATGGTATGTATTTGTAATGAAACTGGGACAAGACAGAAGGTAGTCCTACAAGAGGATTCACTCCTCAGACTTTCACATTTTAGGATGTTCAACTACAGAGCTACTGAAAACCCTCTAATGGGCTACTATACATATTGAATTCATTTATGACAGGCATTCCCAAGAGCCCATCTTGGTTTTATCATATCTTCATAATATTTGTGTCACCATACTACACTCTTACTAGATTGGTTGTCTGACTCAGGAGTGCTTTCCTTCCCTTAGAGCTGTGTCAATGCACATGAATTCACAGGACAGTCACACAACTGAAGATTTTGGAAAGATCCACATGGGGAAATAAATTTTGAAGAAAAATTTGCTTCTGGAAATGACAGAGTAAGGCTAGTCTGATAATTGGACAAAAAAATGAATTTAGTTTACTTCAAAAATGCAATTATACTAAGCACAAAAAACTTAATACACTTTTTGGCTGATTTCCCACCTTGCTGACATTTTGTACTGAAAATCCTTCTGAGGCCTTGACAGATATGGTGTTATTGTCTACATTTTCTTCAATGCTTCTTGCTCTGAAAAGTTCTCCATGGTCTGAAAATAACATCTTTAAGTGAAAACTTTATACTTGTTGTAATATAATGTTTTGTGTATAATTAAGGTTGTCAAAAATTACCATCTCTTAATTGCTCCCATAGAATGCTCTCTAGTTATATGTCTTTGGTTACTATTTAATAAAGTTTGGTTTTCAACATAAATTTTGAAAGGATATGTTTAATCAAACCATCAAATTTTAATATTGGGTATTTTACCTTAAGCACCCAAATAAGCCTCGAGTGGCCCATAAAATATTTAGGGCACTTTCTTGACAAGGAGCTCATAAGAGACTGGAGCTTATACAAGAGGGATGGCTTATTAAAAAAAACAGTTAAGAACCAAATGCCAGTCAAGTGTCATTTTTCATAAGACTTATTGATGATTAACTGAACATGCAAAAATGTACAAGGTTGAAAACCTATGATATTACTTAGG